TCAAGCTGATCGATCTATAATTTTCTTGATCCTCCTTGTTCTTATTAAGGAAGAAAGAAGGGATAGCATACAGTCTCTCCTTCAGAATTCTGGGGACCCTAGCACTGTGATGGTGAACCTGTGGCATGCGTGCTAGAAGTGGCACACAGAGCCATCTCTTCACGCACGTGAGCTGTCACCTGTTGCTCTTTTGGGTTCCGGCGCACCAGCCAGATCATCTTCATGGGCATGGGAATGCCGTAAGAGCAGCCGCTGGGCGCATGCACACACCAGGAAAATCATCTTCCGGTTTCCGGTGCGTGCATACGCACCAGCCAGCTGGTCTTCGTGTGTGCATGTGCACCAGAAACTGAAAGACCAGATGGCCGGTATGCATGCACACACCGGAAACCAGAAGAGCGCGCATGTGCACCAGGCGGTCGCTCTTCCGGTATCCAGCACATTCACATACGCATTTCGGCACTCGGTGCCATAAAGATTCGCCAACACTGTCCTAGCATGTCTCCATTTCCTAAAGGTTAGCTAGTAGTTGATAAACTACACTAGTTCTTTCAATACCCTTGATTTTAATTTGATGCTTTAGTTCATTTAAATTAGCTGGGGTTATTTTAAACCCTCTTGTCTGTCCTATGATACAGCTCCTCCTATTAATGGCACAGTTATGGCCAGTTAGGGTTTAGGGTTATTTTTCTGAGAATATTATATATATATATTTTCACAGAAGTTTTCACATCATTTCCTTGCCACCATCATTGCAACAAGTCTATATCATCTTTGCTTTTGCTCCCCCCACCCTCAATACAACAGTTAAGTATATTTTGCTGTTTTGAGCACTTTCTACAAACTTCAAATAAGTTCTGAGTTTTACTGCTTAGAAAGAAATGAATATCTACAATTTCTGGCCTTATGTCTTTGGTTATAGGCCACTTCCTTAAAAAAAAAGTTTCCTTAATCTTTTTCTTCTCCACAGTTTAGAAAGCTCTGTATGTTTCCTGTTTTTTGTTCACGTAAGAACAAAAATTGAGGTTTCACTTACAGTATCCCTCACTTTTCATGTTGGGTTTGTTCTGAATAAGCTGTAATTTTTCAGGTTATGTTTCAGTTATGGTCACTTCAATGAAATTTGCTGGTGTCTGTGGCAGCATACTGTCTGTATTAGGTTTCTCTGTCCACTTCCCATATTCTGTGTTAGGAATGTGAGATTGTGAATGATAGTCTCACTGGTTTCACTGTTCTTTCCTGACTATTTTTAAATCTACCCTCCTCTCTCATGCTTCTCCCTTTATTTCTTGTCTTGTTGGCCCCATTTTTCCTGGTATATTTCATTACCAGCTTTTGCTACCCTCTCTATTTTCCTCTCGATTAATACCCTCTGATAAGATTAATGTGGTACCCACCAAACATGATTTCTCCATCTTTTTAAGATGTTCCCCTTCTCTTTAAAAAAAACATTGATTCTTATATTAGATCAGGAAATAAATCATCCTAGATTAGTGAGGGACTTACAGTTTACTATTCTACATATTCTGTTGTGAAAAAGAGTGCTGGTAGGTAATATCTTCATTTCATAGTGGCTATTGCATATGTTGAAGAAAATCTTCCTGTCTGTTTTTTTCCCTTAGTGTAAACTGACAAGCTGGACAAAGGATTTCCGATGGCCAGGTGTGGAGGGGAGAGATGTGACTAAATTGCTCCAAACGGCTATCAATGAGAATTGCAAGGTTAGAGTAGTAACTGGGTCAATGGCAGTAAAAAAAGACAGAGCAAGAGAGCCACTTTGATCTTTTTCTTACTTTTAACTAGAATTACCAAATAGAGGTCCTTGCTATTGTGAATGATACTGTGGGAGAATTGATGAGCTGTTCGTCTATTGTCAAGCCATGTCAAATAGGAGTAATGATAGGTAAGCAAATGCTGGACACAAGATAATGTTGCTGATCAACTACAAGGATCATATATGCTCAATATGTTTATTATTGGTGTTCAATATATATATATCAGACTGAAAGCTTCTTAACTGAGTACTGGGCAATGTCCATAAAGGTAGTGGGGAAAACCAGAAAGGTTTTGCATTCCCTCAAAACAATGAACACCTGCATAAAGAAGTGTCATCATAAAGGTAAAGATAAAGGTTCCCCTCACACATATGTACTAGTTGTTCCCGACTGTAGGGGGCAATGCTCATCTCCATTTCAAAGCCGAAGAGTCAGTGCTGCCGAAGATGTTTCTGTGGTTATGTGGCCAGCATGATTAAATGCCAAAAGCACAGGAAATGCTGTTACCTTTCTACCAAAGGTGGTTCCTATTTTTCTACTTGCATTTTTTACATGCTTTCAAACTGCTAGGTTGACAGAAGGGGGCTCACTCGGTTACGCGGCGCTAGGGATTTGAACTGCCAAACTGCCAACCTTTCTGAACGATAAGCTCAGCAGCCACTGAGCCAATGTGTTCCGTGTCATCAAGATGGGTTCAATAAATTAAATAGTTTAGCAATTTCAAAGATCTATAAAGGTGGTAGATAGTTTCATTTAACTTTCAAGTCTTTTTGTGCTTAGTGTTTTATTGTGATTATTTTCTTTGCATTGTGCTTCTGCTCTGTTGTTTCTTTTCCTGATAGATAGTGGCACTAACTGTTGTTATATGGAAGATACCGACCGCATACCAGGAAACTTGCTGGAAATTAAGGGACACATGTGTATAAATACAGAATGGGGGTCCTTTGGGAATAGTGGAGAATTGAATGAGGAAGTAACAGAGTTTGACTTGTTGTTAGATAAAGAATCCATGGATCAAGGAAAACGCAGGTGGGTCATAGTAAAGAAATTGAAGGCAACATAATGATTATAAAGCATTAACCTATATTGCCAGAGAGAAGAATCGGTGAATCAATGGGTTATGTCATTTGTGCATTCCAGTAAAAATCAGAGTTGTTGCTTCAGATTCCATTCTTGAAGCCCCAAAGCCTTTCAGATTGCATTTATAACAAATAAATTTAATGCAATACCAAACATGTCTGGGTAATATTTTTTTATTAGAATCAATCAAAACACAGAAACACTTCATCAGGTAAAATATTGCAAAAAGAGAGAAAAAGTTTTTTTTTAAAAAAAGTTGTTATGTAATTCATGAATTCAGGGGCTCAGAGCTTGAATCAGTGGCAAACCACTTCCATATGTGCTCCAATCCATTAAGTTAAAATATTATTATATATATATTTGCCTTGCTTTATCCCATCTTATCTGTATCTCCATTTGCTTTTTTCTGGATTTCTAATTTGACATATCTAGAGAAACCTGCTCTGGAACTAAGATCCTAAAATTACAGAACTATAGTTGGTTCCAGGATTGCAAGTAAATCCAATAATTCTGTTTCCATTACACTCATTTGTTAGTGTAGGATGAAACTCGTTTAGTCTTTCATTGCACCATTAATTGCACCATTAATAAGACATATCTAAGCTGTTTTGTGAATTGTGTAGTTTACCTGCTAGCTACCCAGGATGGATGTTTCACTGCTTCCACTCAAATTTCTTCTTTGGGCAATGATTTTCCTGTGTTATTTCTGCCAGGTTTGAGAAGATGACCAGTTCCTATTATGTGCGTGAGATTATCCGAATTATTTTGGCTAATCTGTCTGGGAATGGTGAATTATTCAGTGGTGTTATGACTCCCACATTATTAATCAAGGGGAAACTGGCACTGCAAGACGTTGTGGATGTCACAGAGTAAGCTAATCTTGTGATATCAGATTTTTCTCCTTATACTAAAAGTAATAGTAGAATGAGATTTGGGGTGATTTATTAATTTAATCTTAATCCTATATGTGGCAATCAGGAGGAGTAAGACTTTTAAATTTAACTTGTGAGTCATGTTTTTAAAAATACATTAACTTCTTCATTTGAGTGTTTGCAGAATGCACAGATATATTGTTTATGGCATCTCAGGTAGGGTAACCGCTAGAATAAAATATCTTTATAGAAGAAGATAGCAAAGAAATGGGATTTTAAAGGTCATATAATGTATGTAACAATCTGAAAAACATATATGCACAAAAACCTCCAAATCATTATTATATGGGGAATCAATTATGTATGAAATATTTGTGTGCCTTTACTAGAGTAGCACATCATATATAAGTCAAGATATAAAGCTATTTTAGAAGCGTGATACACTTGATAAACTAATCTGTATAATCACTGTTGCAAATCATTGAAGATGATAAATGGTAATTAATAAAGAGTAAATTTTTAAAAAATGCTTTTACTGACAGGGGCAAACATTATGCCACTCTAAAAATTACATACATTAGTTAATTTTCTTTAAAACACACATCATTTGAAATACAGTATTTCAATTGATATTAAATTTATTTGATATAATATTAAAATGTACGTGGTTTTGGCACAATTTATAAATGAGCTTAATTACATTTTTTCTTACCTAGAAAGTGGTTTTATGTAAGGCATATAAGACTTGAAAGAAAGAAGTCACATGTTAGGAGAATTAGCAATTTCAAATTTATTATTACCGAGCAGACCATTTCATAAACACTCCTGCCATTTCTTTTTCCTTCTTTTGCAGAAATTTCACCAGCTTTTCCCTTAATGATGCTTTAGGACAGCTTGTATGCTAAAATTGACCATTGTTAATGTTAACTAGGTCCTTTTGATCAAGATGTGCATTTCCTCCTCCAAGGCCATTTAAGAGATTAGCAGTTAGTGCCTACTGGCAGTGTAAACTAAACATTAAACCATGATTAAGGAAACCCAAAGGTGCTTTTTAAAGAGGTAACTAGACTTTCTGGTTTTTCTTATTGAAGACATTTCACTTCTCATCCAAGAAGCTTCTTCAGCTCCTTTTCACTTCTTGGATGAGAAGCAAAACAACTTCAAGGAAAAACCAGAAGGTCTAGTTGCCTCTTGAAAAAGCATCTTTGGGACAACCATGACCTGGATGACTCAGAATCTCCATAGACATGATTAAGGAAAGAAAGTTACATTGAATTTGCATTGGTAATATGTCATCTTAAAAAATAGAGCACCTCTACCAAACTATTATAGCTAGATTTATTCATTTCCATTAATAACCTTTGCTGAGGTCAGAACTGGTTGTGTCTTTTGTATGGATCTCCTTTAACTCATATATATATATATATATATATTTAATTACAGTGATAAAGTGGGCCTTGCCAAAACCAAAAGTTTCCTTAGTCGTCTTGGACTAGTGGCATGCAATCAAGATTGTTTCCATGTGCAAGAAATATGCCAAGCTGTATACACCCGATCTGCCAAACTCTGTGCTGCTGGATTGGCTGCTGTTCTCATACATACTCATGAACTACATCCGCTTCCAGAGACGAAGATCTGTGTAGTTATGGGTGGGGACATGTACAAGAGCCATTCAATGTAAGGAACTGTCTTGGACAGAGGAACATTTATTTTCATCAGACCAGTGCTAGTTTCTCTTGCCAATAGTTCTTGGTATTATTGCTCAATTAGTATATTGTTTTTAGCATTTCTCCTGGATTAGGGTACAAATTCTAAAAAGTTTTTCTAAGAAATGATTTTTCTCTTCTTCAGCTTAGCAGCCAATATTTATTTCTTTAATTATCAGCTGAGTAAGTGCCTAATCCTTTGTTCTGCTGACGTTTCTTGTATTGCTGTAAGTCATGTGTATGTGAGAGGAGGCGGGGGGGGGAGAGAAAAATGGTTCTATCTAGTTAAATATTTCTAAGCTTGAATTGTTTCCTTTGGAAATTTGATTCTGCTAAGCTAAATAAGTTGTTTACACCATCTCAAACTATATTTTTTTACCATTTTGTATTAACATTTGGATAATGTAAGGAGGCCTATATGTACATATAAGAAGCAAATTTACTCCTTTTTGAGCAGGATAATCCTAAAAAGAGGCATAGGTCAAGAAAAAGTGATTGGACCAATGCAATGGATTACTTCTTGTCTTTATCCTTCAAAAAGCCTTGACATTTCTTCTCCCTCCAGGTACAGTGAGATACTACAGCAAACCCTGAAAGAGCTGGTTCCTGAATATTCTGTCACATTTATCCCATCAGATGATGGCAGTGCCTTAGGGACTGCCATAGTGACAGCTGTAGAAGTGAAGCTTAGAAACCGTCGAGAGGGCCTGGCTCAGGTTCTGGCTCCTTTAAAGCTTTCAATTGTAGATCTTGAAAGATTACGGAATGGGATCCGACTAGAGATGGATAACGGCCTGTTGAAGACAGCCACCAAGAAAAGCTGTCTACGCATGTTGCCCACTTTCGTCAGTTATTTGCCTGATGGCTCTGGTGAGAGAAGGAAGCTGGGTAGAGCCCTATATCTAGAGAGGGAAGTGTTTGAACTGTATTTATGGACTTCGCTTCAGGGAAGTCAGGAGAAAGCTTTCCACGTTACTGGATTTTTACCTGAACCTGGTTATTTATTTGACCCAAGACCACTGCTGTTTATGTTGCTACAAAGGGCACTATGCTTGCTTTTATTTATCATTCCATCTTTATTATTTTTAGAAACATAACACAAGGTGGTGAACCTATGTGATACTCCTCTTCCTATTTCCCATAAGTAACCTTGTGAGGTGGGTTGGCTTGTGAGACAATGACTGTCCAGAGATTTTTCAATTTACGTAGGACAATAGATTTGAACAATTTCACATGCAGGGACACACTTTTATCCCAGACTTACACTTGAGACCCAGTTGTCATTTCCTACTGCACATATTTGAAGTGGCAGCATATATTGTTTTAATTCAGCAGCAAACTACTAGTAGGTCCTAAGCCATCAGATAAAAAAACTTCCGTGCTAGAGGGCGAATAAGATTTGCTGAAGGAAAATGACATGTTTCCTTTGGCGCCATTTGTTAAGGTTGGCAAGAGATTTGCCTCACAGGAGAAAAAATAGGGTTTTCTTGAAGCAACCTGATGAAGATTGGGAGTTGTAAAGTTCTGTCTGTTTCACTGAGACTGTTGTTGTCCATACACTTTTTATAGAGAGAGGGGATTTCCTGGCATTGGATCTAGGTGGAACCAATTTCCGAGTATTGATGGTACAGGTGAAAAGCCAAGAGGAGGGTGGTGTGCACATCGTCAATGAGACTTACTCCATTCCACCAGAAATAACTCAAAGTAGTGGGCTACAGGTAAGCTCAGGAGAAGAATGATATGGCTTTGGTTGATTGAGCATGAATGGGTTGTGGATTTCCTGAATTCTTGTGACAGATGATTATGGATACTGTTTTTAGTATTAGGACTAGCCATTTTTGTCTATTGAGTAACTTCAACTCCAAATTTATTTTTGCATCATATCCCACTCCCTTCTTTTGTATTCCTACAGCTATTTGACCATATTGTGAACTGTATGGTGGATTTTCATAGTAAGCACAGGATGTCTGAACATACTCTACCACTCGGTTTCACTTTTTCCTTTCCATGCAATCAAGTAAGCCTGGATAAGGTATGAAACTGTATGGGTGGGGTTCTATTAGGCAGATGGTAGAATGTATGTATATAGCAAGAGATGAAACAGGAAAGAAACAAGAATGAACTCATGAAATATGAAAAACCCCAAGTGTTGGGAAATATGAAAAAAATCCTTATTGTTTTTCCTGTTTTTAATTGAAAATCACCTAGAAATGTTCTAGAGTTGGATAGTCTCTAAATCAATCAATATCAATCTATCAGTTGAAATGATTGACAAAGAAATTTTTAAACAACCAAAGGAAATCATGATGCGGCTTCTAAATTGGGAAATCCAGCTATGTGTTGGGAATGCCACCAGTAATGACTTCCACAGAACATTTTTTCTGATAGTTTCATTATTTTCTCCTGCTAAGTGATGACTTGCTACAATTCTGTAAAAGTGCAGAAAAGCTATCTAGTTTTGAATTGGAAAGTTCCTAGTCCTCACAGTTGCAAGATAAGAAGGTAAATGCTGTTCAGAATGTTTATTTCCTAAATCAGTCCTGCCTTATTTCCTAGCTGTTTGCTTGCTGCCATTTCTCCTTGACAAAATAGTTAGGGAACAACCTAATGCAGTCACTGGCAATCTTTTAGGGTATATTTGAAATTTTAAGATGATTTCATGGGCATTTTTTTTTACAATATGGTTCCCAGGGTGGCATAGGCAGTCACAGGATATCAATTTACCAGAAAGTATCTGGCTAGGTACCCTTTTCTTATTCAGCATGGTGTGCTCTATCCCAATTTACTTTTGCCCTTTTTTTCTGGTTGGATCTACATACTTCCAATAAACCCTGAGAAATTGCCATCTACTATTTTTCTAGAATGCCAGTGTACTCTGTATGGCAAAATATAATCCCATTTTTTTAAAGTGAATGATCCTTGTACTCCATTCAAGTTCAAGGAAGCCGTTCTCACAGGCATTATACTTGTAATGTACATACCAAAAAGGGAAACATTTTTAACCACTGACACTATAATGCCTAGCCCAGTTTAAAGGATTAATTGAATAGCATGTTATGTACAAAAAGCTTGGAGGCAGTAGCTCTACTGAACCATTCCAAGTGGGCAATTTCCCTTTTTCCCCCGGCATTGACAGGGCATCTTGCTGAGATGGACTAAGGGCTTCAACGCCACTGACTGTGTAGGAGAAGATGTTGTGAATTTGTTGCGGGATGCAGTACAGCGTCAGAAGGTATATATGACATGCAAAAGCAGTGTCTAAATAAAGCTAATGTATTTGACATGGGTTGTTCAAGCTTACTCACACCAATCAAAATGGTGGTATAGATGGGGAGAGAATATGCCATATTCCTTTGCAAACTATACACTTACTTATTGATTTTCTAAAAGAAATGCAACTTCAAGAGGGATGGATGTATAGCTAAATTTCTTATTAACTATTATTCTTTGCCAAACCTCTTATATAAATTTGAGCCTAGCTTTTCTTACCACAAAGTGGGTGCTTATGTCATATGAAATGATCCAGAAGTGGGGAAGAAAAGTTTTTTTTTTTCATGAATCCAAACACAAAGGAGAAAGATCAGGCAAAGAATTGTTTAAGTACAGATTTGGGTTTTCCACTCCAAATTCTTCCTCCCAGTTACTTTACACTACAAAAAGTATTATTTTCCTGTTCATTACTTATGTATAAATGTAGTTCCACACGCAGGATTTTTTCCTAACTTAATGAAGTTTGATAATGGGCTCCATGAAAGAAAATAATAATAAACTTAAATCCAACAGCAACATTCGGGGATGCTAGTGATACTGTGCGTTCCTGAAAATAAGACGGTCTTATTTTCCTTTGATCCCCAAAATAAGCACTTGGCCTTATTTTCGGGGAAGTATTATTATTTTTGAGGTGTGAGCGTGGTCACCTCATGGCTGCTGCTGTGTTGCAATATTTTCAGGGAGGACTTATTTGGTGGGGAGGGCTTATTTTAGCTCATGCGTTCAAAAGCCCGATTGAGCTTATTATCCAGGGAGGTCTTGTTTTCAGGGAAATAGGGTAGTAATCTGGAAACTGGATTTGCCAATTCAAGGGTATCCTATTTTGCCCAGGACTGTAATCCTCTGAAGGAAGAGATTTGCAGTCTGGGAATGTTCCTTGAACTCTGACCCTTTGGATTCTTGGTAAATTGTTGTGGCAATGATTGCCTTTGCATTGTTTTGTAGGTTTGGTTAGCTGGGTTCCTCTCTAAACCAGTTATTTTGGCAATGGCTACCCATGCCTTAGTTATACCCCATCTTGACTACCACAACATTTATCACAGGACTATCTTTTAAACATTTCTCTAAGCTGTATTTGAAGTTGTAAACTGGTACAAGATTTTTGGATCATATGATACCTATATGGCAAGATTCAACTTGGCAATCATATGTGGGTACCATTGAAGGTATTGATAGTGACCTTTAAAACTGCAAACTGTTGAGACCCTATCTGAATCTCCTGAACTTGTGTGATTTTAATTTTGGGAGGAAAGACCTGCTTGAAGAAATTCCTGCTATCAAAGGATCATCTTTCTATCATATGGAAGGCGCTGTTCTTCCAGTTGTTCTACGGAATACACCCTTTGGGGGGGGGGTGTTGTAACACTTGATCTCTATTATTAGATGATTCAATATTTATTTTATTTGTATTTGTAGTTTTTTATATACTATTTTTATTTTTACACTCTGTTAGTTACCATGAACCCTTGCCAGAGCAGAACAGTTGGATATAAATAAATATCTAAGACAAAAGAAGCAAGTGGGAAGTTTAAGTTGACTTAGTGATAGCAGTTATACACTCAGCTTACCAAGGTCAGTTCAAGACCTGGTAGCTGCATTCTTCAACAGTGGTATCCTCAGAGGGGTCCACAGATGTAGCATTGGAATAAAGCCCCAATCTTTTGTACGTGTGCGATGTAACACACATAAAAAGGGACAAAGTTTGGATTGTGTTGTTACAGCCACTATAGTATCTTGCCTGTTTTGACCCACCACTCATCCACGCATGCTGCTGTTCATATAGGATATTATGCTTAGAATGTTGATTAAAAATCTTGATTTTTTTTTTTTTAGGGTGTGTGTGTGTGACTTATTGTATTGTATTAACCCAAACCATCTGGTTGGTTTTTAGCTCATTGCATTGTAGCAACTCAAAAATAGATCAATTCAGTAACCAGATAAAGTATGTTGTGCAATTACAGTCAATATATATTGTATAATGTGCCATAATTGAAGTATATCAGTTAGGAAAGGTCACTGGCCCTATTCTCATCATATAATGTACACAATTGGCCACTAATCTGACCAGTTCTTACTGGTACCAGGACATAATTATACAATTACATAATCACACAATTACTGGTTCAAAAGTCACTATTTGGAGAACAAAAATCTCACATATTCTCTATGAAGTACTTGGTATCTCATAAATTCTTACACCAGAGGAAAAAATAAGTGACAAAACTTCATTGTATCACTAACTCCATTGGCCAGGCAGAGGTGGGTGGGTTTGGCTTGGGTGCTGACAACCACTACACTGGTCTAGGATGGATGAAAAAGACTGCAAATGAGTTTATAAAAGTGAGACGGGTTTACAGCTACAGCTACCTTTAGATTCACTTCTTTTCATGGAGAACTAACTAGCTAAGATTTTAGAGCTGCCCCATCTTTTACTGGGTTGTTTGAACAAAATGGGTGTATTGAAGAAAGATGGATTAACTTCCTTCTAAATCTTGGGCCATTTGGGGTTAAAGCTTATCCTCCTTATCCCTTGCTAATTGGGCTAAGGCATTCACGCAGTATCTATTTTGCTATTGCTTTAGAGAATCTAGTTTCATAAACAGAATCATTGATATCCCTTCACCAAATCAACTGGATATTAGTGACACAACTGAACAGCTCCTTTTAGGCTGATAGAGCAGCACTTCCAATATTAAAAGAAAAGGAAAAGAGGACCAATTTTCAGTGCGACAAACCCAATGGATCTGTGCTGGTTACTTGGTGACAGGAAATCATGTTGCCTGGTAACACATTTTGCTGTTTTCTCTCTCCTTCCCGCCCTTTCTTTTCCCAGACTATTGATGTAGATGTGGTTGCCTTAGTGAATGACACAGTGGGAACAATGATGTCATGTGCCTACCTAGACCGTAACTGTGAAGTTGGTCTTATTGTTGGTAAGTTGGGAAACAGCATCATTTAATTATGATTTCAAAAATTATAGTTTGTCTTTCGGTAAACTAGGCAAATAGTATGAGAGATCATTAGGATGAGTCTTTATATACAATGAAAAGTAAGATAAAGGAGTCCCTGTGGATTTTATTCCACTAGATGTTGCCAACTAAAGGGGGTGATGCCATATTTGTTTCAAGACCATTGAGCCAGTACTGTCCAAATACATTTCCGCAATCATTTGACCAGCATGCCATCACTGAGCTCTCTTATTTTCCCACCAAAGGGAGTCTCTGCAGCCAGCGTGGGTGTGGGCAGCGGCAGCAGTGGCAGGACGCCTGGTCTGGGGTCTCTGCAGCTGCCGCTTCCCACACCGTGCTCCCCCCTCCTCCTTGCTTATGGAATAAATTGGATCAGCGGGGAATGGCTGAGGTAGCTGGCATGGATATTGATGCCAGCAGAAGATGGCTTCGGTGGTTGGCATGGGCACGGTTGGAGTGGAGGGGTCCTTCATTGTAGCCCCCACTGGTATTACCGCCATTGCCTGGGCCACCGTACTGTGTCATTTGACCATTTGGCCCCCCCTCTTGTGACAATATGGACTGGGTCAATGGAGTGCGGCCCTAGCGATGGATATGAGTGCGGCTGACGTAGACGGAGCTTAGCTGTTGGAGTTGTTGAAGTTGGAGCAGCCGCTGCTGCCACCGCTGTCCTCACTGCTGCCATTACTGGCCGCTTCACCACCTCGCAATTTATCATCTGCTATGATTTTGACATCTGGCCGTTACTCTTATATATTGTCCTTAACACCGATCATTGCTATGATGGACCTAAGCTTCCTGCTACCCCCTTGAACACTGTCGGCTGCCCCCCCTCATGGACATGTCATCTCCCCGTTCCATCTCCCCGTGATGTCATCCTGTTTGGTTGATGCCATACTCTATGTTATACTGCAACAGAACTTTACTCCCTTCGGGAACTCCCCCTTTCCCGAGGATGGCCTTCTTACCTATCAAGACACTTTCTTAATGATGGATCTTGGAATCCCAAGAGGTGGCATGTGAAGGAGAGACTTCTTAGGGGTTTCTTACAGGGGTTTTTTAATCAAATTTTAAGTGGGGGAAGAGGGGTTGGTTCGGATGGCTCAGACAGGCTTGGGGGGGAGGAGTCTGCCAGGGCACAGGCCAGAGCTAACTAATGGGCGCGTGTCGGGAGTGCTGGGAAGGGTTGGGATTCCGGCGGGGACATTAAGCCATTCTATTGGGGGGTTCACCATCTCTATCCCCATATGGTGGGGACCAAGGGCCAAATTATGTTCAGGGAATGCGGGTTCGCTGTTTAAGAGCAACCCCACGTTCCGACCATCATTGCCCTTCTCGCACCCCCGGGTGCTCGGGATTACAGGACTCTGGTCTCCAACTGGTGTCACTTAACCCCAGGTCCGTGATACATAAGGCTCCCCTCATGTACATCCTCATACAAGAGGGTAGAGCAGACCTGGCGTGCATTATGGAGACCTGGTTGGGCCATGAGGAGGGTGTTCCCCTAAGTGAATTATGTCCACCAGGCTTCCGGGTGTTTCACCAGCTGAGAGCCCAGGGCAGGGACAGGGAGGGAGGGTGGCGGTGGTTATTAGGAAAAGTCTTGGACCTCAGGAGGTCACTCTGCCTCAGATATGCGGGTGTGAGTCCCTTTTTGTGAAATGAGGCCTTGGAGTTCAGGTG